CATGTCAATTCAAATGGCTTTTATTAAAATTATGTCACAAAATTCAAACTTAAGCCAACGTAATTTCTCAGAATTTCAACGATTATCCTAATGTAATGTCTCTCAAGTGCCTCTTTATTCACTGTTCAACGTAAAATGAAAAGGGAATGGAATAAAAATGAACAAAATTGATTTCTTATTTTTCGAATTTTAAATGACAAAAAATCATCCTTCATAAATAATTCATGTGATTCTAAAGCACATTTTTGTGATGCTAACGTAAATGTGAAAGCTTTCCATCTATTTTCTGTGTAGCTTATTTTGTATGGGATTTTCTTCATTCATTTTTTTCATTGTTCTCTTTTTTTAAATTTTGAAAATTATTTATTGCTTTTTTGCATATTTTTGCCTTTTTTATTTCAACATCCTTTTATTGTCTTCATGCCTTATTTAATAGCTCAGAGGGGAAGAATTGAATTTATTTTGTGCTGGAATTTGAGCTTTAATTTTTTTTTATAAAAATGCAATTTGATATAAAAGTAAAATTAACATGACGCATTTTTTAACAAATATTTTGCGATACTGTGATCATTCATTTGGTGCTGAACATGAAACCAACTTGATATTGGATACTTTCACTTTTTTGTTTTTTTTTTCAAAGTTGCTTGCATGAGCTTCAATGAATTTTAAATACAACAACGAGTGTTAAATTGATTAATGGAACATAAATATTACCAGCAATGAGAATAAATCAGCATACAATAAAAGAAGAACATCCCATTACCATTCTAACATTTTATCGTAGATATCTCAAGTAATGTATGCACTTTTGTATGATCTCTACCATCATGTTAAAGTGTCACTTATGCAGTAATAAAAATCATAAAGTATCTATAACAATTCATTGAGATAGAAAACGTGCCATAAAAGCACATTCAGATGTGTATTTCCGATAATTGCAAACATTCATCCAAAAATTTACTTTCATTACCACATAACGTACATGTGTAAATTAATCTATGTATATTTTCGTACTTCCTTTTTCTTTCTTCCTTCTCACTGTTTGTATTATGTTCGTCGAGCAGCTCGATTCTATAATGCAAAAGAAGATAACACAAAATGTGTTCATAAAAAGTAATGGAAAGCTCTGTGGTGGTAGCCAGAAATAGATATAGATTCGAGACGAAATAATAATAAAAATAATAATGTAAGAAATACTATAAAGTACGAGAAGAGTGGAAAATAAATGCGAGATGAAAGCGAGGCCCATCTATGGAAATGAGGATTCATCTTATCTACATTATACTACCATTCCGTAAATTATCTTCAATGAATTTCTTTCACATCATGACGATTACATATTCAGAAGACTAAGGTCAAGGGGAAAGTTTTCAAAGATGAACGTTTTCTCTCTTTTCTGAAACGAAATTGATTACTAAGTAACGATAAAGGAAAGCAATGGAATTCGAAAGAAAAAAAAAGGTTCTCATTTCATTCAAATTGTTATTCCCACTTCATGACCGCTTTTCCTTTCTTTCGATACGATTTCTTGTGCTGGAGCTGTTGATTTTGCTTGCCATCTATTCAGTCCTGCAATAAACAAAATAAAATAACAAGAAAGAAAAGTTTTGGAAAAAGGTGATGAACTTAATTTTAATGTCCATTAGAAGTTTATAAAAAAAAAGCTGAGTGATTTATAGCTTGGAAATGTTGTAGAAAACGAGCCCCACAGTTGCTGTCGAAATTTATCATTTTGGTAAAAATTGCAGTATGGTAAAAAATTCAAATGAAAATGGGAAAAAGTTTTGCACGAAATAGAAAGAAAATAAATTCCTATAGAACTCGTGCCTGCCTTTTATTTCAATGCAAATTGAAAAGTTTGCAAATTAGATTCCTTGGTGTGATAAATAAGACAACAAATTTTATCCTTAAACTTTGGTCAAAAGTAATCTTCTTTCGACATCACAATTGGAATTCAAAATGATGCATTAAGTTTTGTACAATTAATTTTATTAAGGTTGGAAACAATATATTCAATATTATATGTCCATCAACAGTTTGTTGCAAACTTTAATTGTTGTTTTCGTGACAGGATATCTGATAAGTTTCATAAATATTACGTACATCAAGCAAATTGATGGACATCAATTGTATAGCTTGTTGGTGAAACTTTTTAATTAAGAATTCCCGATGTCGTCATTATGACAGCTTGATGGACGTGCAATTTATATTTATTCTAGGTTTCAATGAAAATCCTATCGAAGTTCCGAATTAAAAATTAATGGAAATGTTTCCATCACAAAAATTCCATCATTTTCATACCTCAACTAAAATTAAAGTTACTTACAATTGTATTTTTATTTTTATATAAATCTTTACAAACATTGAATAAAGTTTGAAGGAGGATATCTTTTCATGACTATCAAGACTGTCTATCAAACTGAGATTTTCTGTCAGAGCTCCCAAAAAATAAATGAAGCTGTTCATTAATAATTGAGAAACCAATAAGAATGATATGATATTAAATTCAATCGTAAACTGAATTAAGATAAATACATGAAAAGTCATGACATACAATTAATTTTCGTCAATAGATAAAGATTTCATTTTGATGGTACTTTACAATAAAAGTATGAATAATAATAATATTAAAGCATAAAATAAAATGATTTATGTACATGACATTTTTGGATCACAATAAATGTAATTTCCTTTCTTATAATTTTTAATACGTCGTTTAAAAAATATCTAGGTTTAACATAAAATAGAAAGAAAATAAATTAAAATGCTTTTTGATAATAGGCATTTTATTGTTATATTTTATTGGCTTTATTTGAATCAAATATAAAAAAGATTGATTTTATCATTGAAATCTTTCTTTTTTATATGTTTTAAGCTTGTCGCTTGAATTTTTTTTGCTCATCGTTGACTAATAAATTTCGATATATTGATCAGTTTATGACGATTTTCAAGACTTTTTATGACTTTTGTATTGGGGAAAGTAGCGATTGTAAAATGCCAGTATATCGACGCATATGAAATATTATATTTTTATTGGCTTCCTTATGCTGTAAAGTTAATAAGAACCATCAAAAAATTTCATTTGATTTACTTTTATCACTTTCAATAGATATTCGATTCAATTCTCTTTTTAAATTAAACTCCATAAAGTCTTATTTATGGAAATTGTTGTACGTTTTTGATTTACGAATGTTGAAAAATTGGTGCTTGAAAGAATTTAAACAAAATTTCTTTTGCATATGATTTAAAACCTTTGTTAAAATTAAGTTAAATTTTGAGTAAGCAAACTCACAAGGATGATAATGAAGACCACAAAAATGCTCATTGCGAACATAGAATTGCAAAATTATGTAAATATGCACAAAATTTATCTCTTTCTTTCCTTTCTTTTGCAGTTTTTATCTTATCTTGTTTGCATAAAACAAATTTTTATTCCTTCCAAAAAAAGAGTACACGAAAGGGAAAATTTAAGTAAAGAAAGCATAAAAATGAATAAAGAAATGATGATGATGTTGAAGCCACAACTAACTAGCTAAGTGGAACTTAGTTGAAGAAACTTTTGTGTATCATTTGTTTGTTGTGAATGAGAAATAAGGAATATCTTTGAGTAATTAAAAATATGGCAATAGATTGTCTGAAACCAAGAAAATTAAAGTTTAAATATTTGCTATTAATTTATATTTCCATTTTCCTCATACAAAATTCACATGCATGTGTTCATCTATACATCCAAAAAATACAAAAATTTTTAAGCTCAACTTTTTTTGTGTAGTTTTTATTTTTATTTAAAATGAATGCAAAAATATTAAAAGCGACAGAAGGAAGAGTAAAATTTGAAATGGAAAGGAGTTATTTGTTAGTTGATGATTATAGTCATTGTGTGTGGATGAATGAAACGAAATAAAAGAGAAAGAGAGAGATAGAGGTTAAGGAGTATGAAGAAGGAGGAAAAGCAATTTAAATTTCATAAAAAAATGTTGAAGGAATAACTTTTGGTACGGAAATCGTAATAAAGAATGAAACAACAATCATCGTTATGGATGTTATGGATGAATGAATGAGAAACATCAAGCAGATGTTACAGACGACGTAATTTGACTAATTTGGCCTCATGTTCATCGCCATTGTTGTTGTGTATTACTAGTCATTGTCGTTGTCATTTTTATGTGAATTTAATGTTCTTTCGAGGAAAATGCTGGAAAATTTTTGAATCAATTTTTTGATTTTTCATTTTTTTTTATAAACTTAAATTTTCTTCAAATTGGAATCATTATGTGAAATGTAATGAAATCTGAACAATGAAGCTGTTAATTGAGTTGAGAGTTTCAAATTTATGCCAGCGAACAATGATTCTAAAATGTTGATTTGCAAATCGATTTCATTATCCATATTCAAACTAGTATTTCCTATATATATAAAGCAATAAAATTGCTGCTTTTTAAACATTCAAAAATGAAAATTTGTTCAAAATTAATTTATCGAACTGGGAGGAGGAGACAAATGGAGAATGAATGAAATGAAAATTTTGCTAATTATCACAAATTTAATTTATTTCTCTCACCACACATCCATATATATATGCATAAATGTATTCAAACAAATATGATAGAGACATTCGTAGAGAGGATAATTAAAGCCCGAAATTGCATTGAAAATATTTGCAATTCAGCACATAAAGCAAAATGAAAAGCGAAAAAAAAAATTTTGGCCATTGTCGAATCCTAATATGATTATGTGACTCTATGAACACAATGAATGGGGAGGAGGAAGAAGGAGGAGAGGATTGAATTTATGTAGAAAAAACATTGGAAATGAAATTAAACAGAACATATTGATCATGGCTTCACACACTATTTCTCTTGTTGCTATTGCAATTTGCTAAAATTTTGGCATGCTAAATATTGTTTGGATTAAAAACACAAAAATGTGTGAAATGGAAGTCAAATGAGACCACACAGAAAACAAAACAAGTTTGTTTAATTACTTTATATTGTCAATTTATTAATGTTTTCATGTTTTAAAGCACAGGTAAAGCATAGACACTCACAATACAATGAATTATGTCATTTTTCCAATGCATTGTCGTAATAATATCCTTCGTTGGATCAGAAAAGCACGAAACATATTGATACAAGCCATTTCCACAACGTTGATTGATGATACATGTCACAATAAATTTATAGGGCTTCTGTAGCTTCACTAATTCACGGAGACATTCACGAATGATATTATCAGACCAACGTTTAACTTTTCCATTCTTGAATTCCTTCTCTTCAGCTAAGATTTTTTCAATTTTCTCTGTCAAAATTTTGTCAATTTCTCCTTTGTCTATCTGCGGTGCCATTTTTCAAATGCAATATAGTTTTCTTCGAAAGAACCAGAAAATGTTGCCGTATTTTTTTTAAAACAATTTGAAAAAACAATGAAAACTGAGTTAAAATTTTTTAAATCTTATACTTATATACTTTTAAACATTTAACGTGATATTTTCAAAATTCTTTAATAGCTTTTCTTACATTATGATACTATAGGGATGTTATAATCCTCTATTGTTACATTTATTATAATGATGACGAAAAAATATTTTAAATTTCCTTCATTTTTTAAAAGTAGCAAATAAAGTCAAGTCAGAGTTTAAAATGTTTTGTTGTTTACAGTCTCTATGACTTTTAGCTTAAGATTTATTGCACAAAATAAAGAACAAATGCAGCATTATTCGTAGCAATAAATCAGTAGTACATTCTTTTCCGCAAAAAAAGGAACAAGAAATGAGAATGGAAAGAAAAAAAAAGCTTAAAAGAAAGTGGAAACGTAAAAAAATACGGTAATAAAACCATGACTGTAAGCACAATGCAATGAATAAAGGCAAATATAAATAATATATTTAAAATCCTTATAAATCATGTTTATTTCTCTTCTTCATGGTGATGGAAGAAGGTTTAAAGGAAGAAAATAAGTTTAATGACATGATTACATCATGACTAGGAACAAAGATTATAAAAAAAAAAAACTTTAATATTATTAATTCTTTATCTAGATTACAGGCAAAACTTGTTCTTAAAATGTTCAAAATTCAGCTAGTTTAAATCATTTTTGCAGTAAATGAATCTCTACAAAACTTTAAAGTTTTAACTTTCCAGGCTCTTTATAAAACTATAAAATGTTATCTATCAATTTACTACATACATGACAAGAATGAATGTCATTTTATTCAATAAAACCTTTTCATATAAGCATGGAAAGAGAAAATCTCATTACTTCGCTATCATTTTCAGTGTATCGATAAATTCTTTTGAAAAAAAAAATTTACTCTCATCTACAATCTATATCATAATAAAAAGTATCACTATTGAAACATTAAAGGAATTTTAACTTCTTTTTCTTTCACTTAAGCTCTTCAATAAGTTTTTCAATTTATATTTCCATCATGCCAATCCTTTTCAATATTTCCTTCCCCTCAATATTTTTCAAAACATACATTGACTATATTTATATGTACGGAAAATTCATTAAAAAGTATTTACGACAATTTTTTTTCCCTCCCTTGCAATCAATGGAAGTCAATGTGGTATGTAGGAGGAAGTTCGATATTATTTTATAGGATGGGTTAGGATAAAAGATTAGAAAATGTCTTCTCGTCATTTACCCAGCTCACTTTCAAATTCATTATAAAAATTATGATCCTATGGATAAAATATAGCGTATCCGTTCACCGTTGCTTTCAAATTTGAGTGACTTAATGTCACTAGATTAAACTTTTTTTGCCCCATAGAAAGTAAAAAAAATGGAAGCATCACAAAGTGTCATAATTTTGATGGTACAATAAAAGTTTTTTTCTTCCTTCCTTTCACTTTTCTTCTTCCTTCTCACTTGCCTGGCATTATAATACAAAGATGAAGCAGTATGCTTGCTTGTATCATATCATATCCCTCCGAAAAAAAAACTTCAATCTCATTTTTGTTTCGTTGTGCATCATCCTGTATTACTCTAACCATTTACTGCCAACTTTTTTTGCGTTTTGATGTTACTTTATAAGTTAAGTTAGAAAAGCTCGTCAAATGATAAGAAATTTCTTTACATTTTTCTCCAATTTCATTCTGACACCCTCATCTGCTTTCATTTCTCATATAAAAGATGAGACAATTTTTCAGAGACTAAAAAGAGAAGGAACAAAAATTTATGCTTCACTTTACTTTTTTTCCAAAAAAAAAAAAAATATAAGACGAAAGAGAAAAAAATTAAATAAAGACGAAAAAAGATGCAAACAACTTTATTTGTTGTTAAGGAGATTGGATTTTTTATGACTTTACGCTGTGTTTGGTAGGAATTGTCCTCGAAGGAAGCTTAAAAATAAAAATGACGCTTTTATGCTGAATTTTAATGGCTCGTAATTAGCGAGATTGTTTTGATGTGATTGCTCTCTCGTAGCAATTGGTATAATAAACATTATAGTATAAACACTGTGACTGCCTAAATACCGTGAAGTATAAAAACAGGAAACGAAAAAGATTCTTAATGAAAAATACATCAGTTTTAATCGTTAGAATGTAAATTTCAAATTAATAATATCGTTTTCCCTCCAGATATGCTCATCTTTTCATTTTTCTTCATGTTCAGTATATTCAACGTAAGTTGGCATGAGGGAAGACATCAATTGATAATTAAAAACTTAATTGGATGTAGGAACAAGAATTTATCTAATAGGTATCATTAGACAATTTACATATTTTCTCCCATTTTCATTTCTACTGAAAAATTACCAGAGGAATTAGAAATTAAGAAAAAGATAAGCTCAGTGATTTTTTGCTGTACATTAAAGAACTCAAATTGTTCAATTCTGTTGCAAATATTTCTAAACACTTTTATAACGCTTTCGTGCTATCTCCCTTATAATAATGTTTGAAAGGCCCGGCCTTCAGCTGGAGGTAATGCGATTCAATGCTATTGTAAAGAATCTATTGTACCTTACCCTTTAGACCTACAGTTTATAGTGTGATCCGAACTATTTGCAAGCTCTGTACATTGCAAAGACACGAGTATGTTATAAGAACTGATGTACCCACTTTGCGTTGGAAGACCAACGCTCTACCATTTAAGCCACTGATGCCATTTCACCTTTTTCTATCTCCCTAAAGATTAATCTTAAAATAATTATATTGATTTTGATCTCAGAATATTATTCATTGTAATTGTGGATCTGACTTAAAAATTTTAAAGTATATAAATTAATTCGGATACAAACCAGTTCTTCTCACATATTTGAATAATTATAATATTTTTTGCAATAAGCAAAGTTTATCTGCAAATCACAAATCAATCTTACCTCATGTATATTTCTGATTGCTTCATATAAAACTTTTGAAACCTCAGGCTGATTAGATAAACAAAAAATTACTTTTGAATCTAGTTAAAATTCCTGCTGTAAAGTTTGAAGCATTATTTTTGTTCACTACCACCCACCTTACTTTATCTTATGATTCGCATAAGTAATTCCAATTTAGAGAAACATCATAACATGCATGTTATTTTCATACTATAGAACTACATCCATACATTTATGTGCATACTCATGTTAATGAATGAATGTGAATGAAGAAAAAGATTTTCTTTTCTACATGTACTTGGATGAACTCCTTGTTTTCATTAAACATGATAGTATATAAGTACACACTTATCTTTTTCTCTTATGAAGAAATCAATAGACGAATCTTGATTACTCCATTTATGAAAATCCTGTTCACAAATAGAATACAATGTTTGTCTCAAAGTCTCATGTGTTATATGAAAATCTTCTGATACACATTTCGCATTGAACATTTATTTAATGTTTAGATGTACATATACACACGTGTATTCAAGCTTCATTCTACATAAACACAAAAAAGAGAATAGTAAATGAGATCTAGAGTGAAGTAAAAGAGATGAAATTAATTACATTAAATCTCTCTCTAATTTAATTAAATCTTTACGTTTGCTGTAAGTCTTAATGCTGATGATTTTGTGTGTACGTGTTGGATATGATAACACGAATGAATTGGAATCTCTTTCTCCTTCATTTCTTTGAAGTATTTGCGTTTTCATGTTGATGATACTTATATTTTGTGTATGTGTGTGTGTGTGTTTTTTGTATAGAGTTTTGTACGCTTGTACAATTTTAAACAGAAATTTGTAAATGCAAAATCAAGTTACTTTATATTTCATGAAAATCATACATTTGGGATTAGAAGACGACAACATTGAATTATGTAATGAATTATCTTTAAATATTCATAAAGTAACTGGAATAATAATGACAAATATATGTGATATGTTCACGTAGTTACATGTTTATGTTTGCCAATAATAATTTTTAAAATAATTAGCAACAAAACAAGTAAACAACTTTCTCATTAAAATTTGGGAAACATCCGAGAATGAAGAACCTCTAATACAATTACATGCTCAAGTATAACTTTTGTGGCTAAATAGACATACATTAACCCATTATGTGAACATGCCACATGACCTCATTACATCATCTATGATGATGTTCGCTTAGAATATTTTAATACAAAACCATGTTAAGGGATATATCAAAAGGGATAAAAGATTCATATACATGGACATTCATGCATATAAAAACACATTGAATAGATTTTCATTTTCTATCTCTCTAATGATTCATTAAGTCCATTAAAAATTCTCATCACGCTATCAATGTAGCATTATAGAGAAAGCAAATTCATAAATATCTCTCTTAGTCAATGCTAAAAAAACCGAGAGATATTTTATCTCCTTCCTATATATTTTTTTTTTCTCAATTTATTTTGCTTCCTTTTGCAAAAATTTTTCCTTTTCATTTTATATTCCATCTATGATGAGAATGATGATCCCAAAAATAACTGATTCAATTTGCTAATTGAAAGGGGCTTATAATGCGATTGAAAAGTTAATTTTGTGAATAATTTTCTTAATGAACTGGTTTTTGTGTTTATGTTTATACACATAACCTCTTACATTACCATTTTAACTTTTTACATCTTTTGACTATAAAACGAAAAATCTTCTCTTCTTATATGGAATGATAAAAGATTTGTTGTCTTGTATCTGTATTGACAATATTAGATAAATTTAAATGCGTAGATACACAAACATAGAAACTTTTGATGTTAGGAAATTTTCAAAAGAACAGAAGATTGAGATGAGACAACTTCTTCATTTGTATTTGCTGGCATAATGTAAATATTTTTCTATTGCTTCATCCTCTCGACATTGTAAAATAAAATAAACAAAACCGAAAGCTTTACCTAAAAAATTTATAGATTGAACATTCTGTATGTATATACTTATAATGCCCGAGATTGTCTGAGAGATTAAAACATTAACAAAATGCTATTTTATATAATTTTTTTTTTGCTTCTTGTTGCCTGAAAACATCAAAGATGGAATAATAAAGGAAGGAACAT